CCCCCTCCTTCCCTCCGTTGCTATTGTTTTCAGGACAACGTAAAGCATGGTTTCCAAGCTGCCATTCCTGTGCTTCGTAAGCGCTCCTATAAGAGGGTGCGGTGTCCGTGTGGCTGTGCGTTAAACAGCTCCCTCTTTTCCTTCCAGAGAGCTGCTGTCCGGTGATGCGATGAAAGAGTATAACAGGGCGCGGGTCTACCTGGATGAAAACTACGAGTCCCAGGAACACTTCACGGTGAGCACACTTTCCTTCCGTGGAGTAAGCGCTGCCAGGCCAGGAGTCTTCTGGAGCTGCCATCCTCTGATTATGTAAAGAGACTCGGTGGCCAGCTCTGCCACGGGCACAGGCGGCCGTGCGTGAATTACAGTGTGACAGTGGTCTGGGGGACGGCGGATGCCCAGGGAAGCAACCCCGGCTGGCGTGGTGGCCACGGGCGTGCCGGGTGCAGGGCCAGGCGGGGGCGTCTCGGAGCAGCGAGGTCGGCCGGCTTTGAGTGGCCGTTGCTGCTGGGAGGCTCTCACCGTGTTTGGGGAGCCCTGAGGCCGCCTGTGCTCCCTAGTGTCTTGTGTCATCTGTCCTCCGCGGCCTTCCCCTCACACCGTCCCCTGCTGCAGGTGCAGGTGCTGGTTGCTGGGTCCCCTCCTCAAGGCATCCCTGGCCCAGAGATGCGGCAGCAGGTGACCGTATGCCCGCTGCCTGGACCGGGGCTTGCATGCGGGGAGTGGGGGCTGGGAAGAGCGTCCTGCGTAGAGCGGCCGGGGCAGAGGTGCCACCGCGCTTCCCCTCAGCTTAGAGAGGCTGCTGCCAGGTTTCAGGCCTTAAATTCAGGGCGTCTGATGCCAGTTGTGAGGTGGTCACGGGCTGCAGGTTCGTGTCTCTGCCTTTAGCTGCATTTGCAAGATCCTACATCCCGGGGTCTTGCCTCTGCCATGCTGCTCGGCGGGGGGACCCTCCCCGCATTCGCAGGGGCCTCACCCCACGGTGGCGGGCCCAGCAAGGCCTCGAGGGCGGGGACACAGCCCCCCTCTCTCTCCCCTTTCTCCTCGACGGCTCCCTCTCCACAGTTCATCCTGCAAATAAAAATGCTTTCCCCAAGTGGGACTTATTCAGATGAAAACGGCAGCGTCTGGAATGAGAATCACACCGTTATCAGCAGCTTAGGGCCCCAGCGTCAGGAGGAGCTCCCTGAAGGGCCGCAGCCGCAGGAGCTGTGGAGAAAGAAGGACTTGGCGATGGGCGTCGCCCAGTGCCAGGACGTCAGGTGGTGTCTCTGGAGCGCCAGGAGGGCCGGGAGAGGAAAGGGCTGGAAAAGGTCGTGGCTGGGATCTGTCAGAGTTTGGTACAATGTGTAAACCCCATAGATCCAGTCACTGTGACAAGCGTCAGGCGGTCAGCATCGTCCCCGGGTTGCTGCTGGCGGGTTAGCGGGGCCCCTCGTCACCTCCCCCTCTCAGAGACCTCGGTCCCTGCTCGGCCAGTAGAGCCGCCATGACCCACCGTGGCCCTGGTCGCCTCTGCCTCGTGGACACCGTGCTCAGGTCCTCACAGTCTCCTTTAGGTGGCAAGATGGGTATTTTACAAGTAAAAGGATGAAGAAAAAGACCGTCCACACGGGTTCTGAGAAGGTAGGAGTGGCCAAGCTGATACCGAAGGAGCCTTCAGAGCGAGGGCTGTGACGGGGCCAGGGCGCCGGGGGCAGCTCCCCAGGGGGGATGTGGCAGCCCATCGTGCGGGTACCCGTGTCAGAGGTACGTGTGCGGGAAAGCTGGCAGAGTCCCTGACAGCCGGCATGAGCTCATGGGCCTCCGTGGGACACGGGGCTGGCGGCTGCACGCGCAGCCCTGGGACGTGGACAGGGCATGTGGCACGTGGCATGCCGAGGGGCGAGGCGGCCTCCGCTCTCTTCCCTGGGAAGGCGAGCGTTGCTCTGACGTTTGTCGGGGTGGGTGCAGGGTCGCCGGTGGTTGGGAGGGGGTCCGTCCCGAGGACTCGAGCATTCCCGCCCTGGCGGCCAGAGCACAGACGGTCTGGGGCCTGGACGAGCCTTGGCCTGTGTGTGCACATGGAACGTTCCACACACTGAAATCGGAGCCGAAAACACAGCTCAGCACGTGTAGGAGATTGAGGTCACCCAGAGGAGCTAAATTAGGAGTAAACAGAAGCGGTATCTGGAAATAAGCCCCAAATATTTGGAAATAAACAAGAAACTTGTAAATAACCCATGAGTCACAAAGGACATTAGAAATTATTTCCAATTACACGAAAAACAAACTAAAAACCTTCAAAATTTGTGAGATGCACCTGAAGTAGCGCTTAGAGGGAAATTTCCAGCATCAAATGCTGATGTTAGAAGATTTTAAAATGAAGAGCAAATTTAACCAGCGTCCTTACAAGAGAGGAAATCATAAAATAAGACAGAAATCAGTGAAATAGAAAATAGAATATTAGAGAAAATCAGCGAAATCAAACCGATTCCTCAGAAGGGCTGACATATCTGATACACCTTCCCCAGTGGACCAGAGACTGAGGCGGGGTGGGTGGCCAAGGGAGGGTGGAGGCGTTGTTTCCCTGGGGCAGAGGCCATCCGTCCGCTGAGGGAGTTATTCTGGCGCCGGCCTCCGTGCCCCGTGGGGCTCTATGTGCGCCTGGGACTGAGTCAACAGTGAAGCGTGGGTATCAGCTTGTTAGTGGACGGGGCCTTGGTTCTTGTGCACAGAAGCTGCGGCCTCAGGACGGCCAGGAGCTCCCACTGTCTCTGTCTGTCTGTCTGTGGAAGTTTTCCATAGTTTTTTGAAATGCTGAGTTTTCTAGTTCTCTGTGGTCTGTTTTGTGTCACCTGTCGTGACATGCTGACGTAAAACCTGCGTCTCTCCTCCAGCCAAATGCTTGGTGGGCTGAGAAGAGGTTTGTGTTGGAGGCGCCTGGGGGCTGAGAGCTTCATTTCGGTCTTCCTCTTCCCTGGAGACTTATCTTAAAATGTGACTTCACAGTTCACAGTGGAATACAGAAACCTGCCGAAGAGCGTTGCCGTCACTCAGCAGCTTCCCTGGAGAAGTAGCCGTCGTGCAAACTGTTGTGTATAAGCATGGTCATCAAAAATTATTTGATAACAGAAGTTGGAAGTAATTTTAAGTACCCAGAATTAGGTATTTTTACACTGTGGACCAGCCACATGGTGGAGTAATCTGCAACCACTGCAGACGCTACAAATGACATGCCCGGAAGATCTTCCTGTCCGGTTGGTGCATGGAGGTACCTAAGGACGATACTACCTCCAGTCTGTTCTTCCACGAGTCGATTGTCACATTTACATCTGAGACCCGGGTGCATCTAACACCCACAGTATCTCTCAATTAGAACCGGCAGCGTTTTCCTCTCTCGGTCTTAGGTGCGCTGATGGCACGTTAGTCGGTGACAGGGCCACATCCTGCTTGGCTCCAGTCTGGGACGGTGCTCAGGGCTGCACCTCCCTGGGCAGGACTGACCCTGCACGGGACGGCACTGCATCAGACATGGGGATGAGCCCAGGTCTGAGGCCCTGAGGCTGTGGCTCCAGGTGTCTGCAGGACTGGACAGTGTCTGGGAGTTGAGGATGAAGGTCCAGCCTGCCCAAGGAGGGGTGGGTGTGTCGGCTGGCCCTGCGAGGCTGTGGCCTGGCTTGCCTTCCAGGGTTGCTGTCCTGCCGGTGGTCCCCTCCTGCAACCACAGTCCAGTGTGGGCATGTTTCCCGGGGCGGGGGGGTGGGGGGCGGCGGGAATGGCCAGTGGTGCTCCACTCTCCGGGTCTGGACCTCATCCCAGACTCTTCCCCAGGGGAGGTGTGTGTTTGTCACCCGTCTCCTGACTGGGACCGTAATGGTTTGTGATAAAATCCTGCTTGGCCCTGGCCCTGCGGCCCCATCCCCGTCGTGCCCGTCCGTCGCCCCTTCAGTGTGTCGTGCGTGGAACCGTCTTTGCTGGGTCCCCTGGACGTCCTGTTGGAGGGGACCTGGGCAGTGCTGGCCAGGTACATGGCCTAGGTACATGGCCACCCTCTCGCCCCAGCCTGGTGGCCTCTGGCTGTCAGAGGGAGGAAAATTTAATTTTTACAAGATTAATAGTATTGGAGCAGTATTTTAGCTGAGTGTGGTTCAAATAATAGGCCATTAATTGAAAAAGGAAATTGAAATGAATTTATCTTGTACATAAATGCTGTCACAGGTATTAATAGAGATCAGAAAACTGCAGCCTGTTCCCAGAAAGAGCTGAACCTGCAGCTGCACCTGGTGATGAGCATAACGGTGGGGGGCTCACGGAAACACGGGGGGCTGTGTCCTGGGGGCCTGTGTCCTGGGGGTCGGCGTCCTGGGGGGCTGTGTCCTGGGAGTCAGCGTCCTGGGGGCCTGTGTCCTGGGGGTCGGCGTCCTGGGGGGCTCTGGGCCAGCAGGGTCTGCAGCCTGGAGGAGCTGTGGCTGGGTGGGCAGCGAGCTGGGGGCTGTGGCCTTGGGGGCAGTGGCACACCAGGAGCCTGCAGATGCCCATTTTCACCAGGAGATGGCGGCAAAGCAGCATTTCCCATCCCAAGCAGGAGCTGCTCGAAGGGCAAGTTTCAGACTTGAATAAAATGATTACGGTAAATTTTGTCTGCCTCTAAGAACCATCCCGAGTGGCCGCTCACTTAAGCACGTGGCTCGTCTGGTCTGCTCAGGCCTGAGGAGGCAGAGTGTCCCCCACTGGGCGTCCTGCGGCGGGCCACCCTCCCTCAGGCCCTGCCCACTGGCCGGGTCCCTGCCCACCTGCATGTCCTTCGGGAAAGTCGAGCTGGAAGTCTGTTCGTTCAGAGGTGCCACCAGCATGGCGTGCTGGCATCGCCCGTCCCGTTCCCGGGAACTCATGAACCGCCGTCATGGGCCAAGGACCTGGCCCTGGGCGTGATCAGAGCCACGGGTGAGACGGAGGGAGCTCGCAGGCTGCTGCAGCACCTCAGACCCCGGGCCCCCCTCGTCTCTGGGCACCGGCCACCTTGGTGTGCTTGGGGTTGGCCTTCTGATTACCGTGTCTTCCTCCTCGAATCCAGAGTCCGGGAGCAGCAGCCTTGCTCCCTGTGCTGCCCGGGGCCTGGGCTGGTGCCAGTGCGTGCCGGTGCCCGGTAGCCGTGCTCTGAGCAGGGAAGGAGGCATCCTGGGGCAGAGGGGCCAGGATGCAGTGGTGGGCTGGACGTGGATGCCCCGGGCGCCCCCAGCGTGGGTCCAGAGC